TGTACCCGTTTTTCCCTCTCATAGGAGCCGAATCATGACTCTGTAGTTTTGTCACTGCCATTCCGCTAATGGCCTCATTTAGTATGGGTTAGCCGAACCAGACGTCGTCTCATTAAAACCCGGGGGAATAGTCCAACCATGGACATTGCAAGCCCGCTTATACGCTTCGACTGCTTCACCAACATGATAGTCCGATGGGCCACCTGGCGATAAACGAGCTGGCTTTGGGTCCACGCTGCAAATGGCCATTCGGACCTGAAGGAGAACAGATTCGATAGAGGAAACAGCGCTCCAACCGTCGTTGGTCAGAAGCTCCATGCACATGGCACCACCGGCAGTGACGTGACCACCTCCACCCTGATTGAAGCCAAGGAAGCGAGGGCGGATGACCCGGACGAACGGTGGACTCATTGGATGATCCTTGCCAAAGCGCAACTCCAGAACAATGCTCTTGATACCACTCTTCTTCATATCCTGCGCTAGTGGTAACTTGGGGTCGAACGAGTGGAGCTCCACAATCCATTGATAGATGTTGTCCATCTTGTCTTCGTCAATGTGCCATCCTAGTTCATGAAGTGGCTCCCTGTTCTGGATAGAGATAATATCTCTAAAGTCCTTCATCAAACGCTTGGTAGCAGATGTAGTTGCCCATACTGGCGTCGCAATCATGGGAAGTTTCGAGTAATCCAGAGTGCCAGGGACATAGTCGGTAAGAGGCTTTTGTGGTACCTTCTGGGCTGACTTGCCGAAGATCTTTGATGAGAACGATGAGATAGCTGTCATCTTGGATTTGCCTTTGCCTTCCATGATCGAGTTCGGCGTAGGGATAGACTCCTCAGCGTACTGTGGCTTGAAGCTGTCATTCTCATATTCATCTTCGTCGAAAATGACGAGATCCTCTTCAAGAGTTGCAACGCTATCTGTATCGTCGTCCTCGTAACCGACGTCTATAGTATCAAACCGGGGCTTCCTAGAAGGTTTCTGCCTCTTGGATAGTCCATACACAGTCGGCTTGTACCGCCGAGATGCGGCAATAGCGTGGATTGGAATAACGAGCGGTCCATCAACGCCAAGAGGGGTTCGACTTGGATCTTGTTCAACAAACTCAAGTGGTTTTGAGACTGGATTAGGTGCAGTGGCACTGGAGATGTCGGCACGTTTTCGTACAAAGAGATAGCGAGTCTGGATCCAATCGAGTTGGGCGACGACCAGATGTGGGTTCTGGCTGACGTACTCCCCTGGAGCATTTACAATTTCGTTCAGAGCCAAGGCTTGCTGGATTTTGAGTTCGCTCATCGGCCACGAAGCGCCTACCTGCATGTTGGAGTATCCTAGACTTGTATTCACGTTAGGGGCATGATAGACACCATGCCCATAGGCCCGTCCATGGTGCGTCTCCTTGAAATGAAGACCTTCTCGAATGATGCTATGCCAGTTGTGGAGCGGACTGCCATGCCAGGCAAAAAGAGTGGGGTATCTAAGATGCAGCCTCTCTTTGGTTTGTCGTACTGCCTCAATGAAGCGGCGTTCCTTGTCAGGCGCACCCATTGCGAAACGGAATTGTGCCCAGCCGCCCATTCCATAGACTCGCCCTTCAGCTTTGCGGCCGCCCTGAGAATCTCCCTCATCCACCTGCAGAATACAAGCGCGGTTTGAGGCAATAACCCAACGTAAGATTCCAAGGGCAGCAGAGGGCAGGCGATCAACCCAAGAACTTAGAAGTGACTCTGATTTGCGCAACAGATATTTCCTCATCTCCTCGACAGGCGGAAGCACATGCAAGAGCGACACTATCGTCTCTTGCTTCTCGTGATCTTTGAGATCATCAAAGTTATGATCGTAGAGATAGAAACTCGCAGACCGAAAATGATCTCTCTGGTCCAGTTTTGATTGTATCTTGTTGCTCTGCTGCGGCGCCTGGTCTCTGTATGATGACAACGTATGTGGGTGTATGTCATCGTTGTTCGGGACGTCAACCAACGCGGCAACGACAGGCTTGGATACCTTCACCGATGGGTAAAGTGAAGTATCAATCACGCGACAGTGTATGACTCTATCGATTTCCTCATCCACCCGAATGACTACCCAAGAGCCAGGCGTTACGGGACAAGGCGCCTTTGAGTTTTCGAAAAGCATCTCTAGGTTGCCCTCGTTGAACCGCATACTCATCGCGGCTACTGGCGGAGTATCATACACAGAACGCGGTTGCTCGGTTGCACCATGGTACGGTACGACTTGGTGGTTTCCTTGTTTACTAGACACGGGAGGCGGAACAGCCAAGCTGAGACCAGTAGGAAATTCCTTGAGCCTTCCGGCGCGCGCGCTAGAATAGCAAAAGCTGACTAGTAAATCCACAACCTTGGGCTGAGAGGTTATTTCGTGCTCTATGCTCGGACCAAAGCCCAGTGACATATACTGATACAGACACAGCGGGTTTTCGCAGACGTAGGGCTTGATCGCTTGCAGGTCGTCCGACATCTTGCTGAAGCAAATCAAGCAGAACTCGGTACACCGTACGAAATGCCTTAGCACAAACTGCATGCTGACCAGAGGTAGGGAATGTGGATGGCCGACTGAAGAGGTAATGTGATCGGCGGTAACAATTTTGGGCCAAGTAGTACTGGCACGCTCGTCCTCGTAGTACTTGTCATGCGCGGCGTCATGCTCTCCGTATGATGAATTTAGGAGCACATCGTTATAGAACAGTTCAGCGCCTTGCCATGGCATTCCTCCGTAGCGGTACTTCAAGAGCAGGGAGAATCGTTGCTCAAATAGCTCATTCAGGGGCCTGGAAACGAAGGAATTACGGAAGCCGCTCGACTGCGCAGGCAATGTGTTTTGAGATTCGCCCTGTTGGGAATCCTCTCGCTCGTTCTCGTTCTCTTTGTTCACCGCAGCAAACGCTGCAACAGCCTCTTGTATGGTCGGCTTGTAGGTTGTCGATACACCGATACGGACTCCAAAGTTGCGGCGAGCTTGATGGGCATCGTAGGACCGGTAGTCATCCATGCTCTTGTACCCTAACGGGTAGTGACATATTGCAACAAGGTATTCCGAAGGCTCAACCTGCCATGCCTTCATCGCTTCTTCTGAGATGCCCAGTTTGGATATGCGAATGGCTAGGGATACATAACATGCCAGGCCCACCATGAGACCTCCTAGATGTCCTACCTTGAAGCCCTCGCTCTTGGCGACTAGAAGGTCATTCCGAATACGGCGCCTGAAGTCAGATGTGACCGCTACAGAGGGCTCCCCCAATCCTGAAGTGTGTGTGATGCGAGGTTTGGGTAGGAGGTCGTCATCACCAGGAAAATAGTCTTCTTCATCTTCGTCGTCATCCTCATAACCCTCGAAATCATCAAAATCTTGCGAGCCAACCATCTGGCTATCACCGTCGCCATCAGTCGACTCAAGCCTGCTGGACACAAGCTCGAGAATCTGAGGTATCGTCTTGGCTGTAGCAGCATCGGTGATATCATTGAGCGCGGCAGCAACACCTGCTGAGGCGTTATCCCCTGCGAAGATCATGCAGGTGTGGCTCGAGGGATATTCGGAGACGTCTGTGACGAGGGCGGAGACATTGAGGGGCTGGCCATCGGCCATACAAGTGAAGGTGAACTCGCCATCGTCAGCGCCTGGTCGCACATCCGAGATGCCAGCAGCTAGGAGGAGGCCATCGGCAGCCTTCTGGAGGTCGGCCTGAAATTGCCTACGTGGCATCCTGGATTGAGAGAGAAAGAAAGATCAACCTGAGCGTTTGTGGGAGGTTGTAGCACAGTGCCGTGCCGCTTGTCTAGTAGCGACTGCCAGACGCCGGTGTTTCGTGGGTTGCGCAGATTTCAGGTGGACCAGTAGAGATATAGCGGCGCAGTCTGCGACAAACACAAAGTGAGGGCGAGCTGACTTTATGTAGGTGACGTCAAAGAGCCCTGGTTGTGCCAGCAAGCAAACACTGGAGAAGGCGGACTGGGCAATCGCGAGCAGGATTGCCACTACCGGGTAACTTGAGGGGACGAAAATCACCTCTACGGTTGTGGTAAAACAGTCTTGAAGTTGGCCTTGTTGCTCTGCAAGAGGCTATAAAGAGGAGAAAAAGTAGAAGTGAGCGTCACAAAAGGCTGGCCAAAGTCGTGGTAGGAAGAGAATTACAAGGGCAAAGCGAGAGGAAGGTGATGGCGGAAGAGGAGGAGGAGAATGAGGAGCGGGCACAAAACAAAGACTAACTGTTCACCTCTCTCCCGACAAATATGGCCTAACAGAGACTTGGCAAGGCTCCATGGCGGTGCTGCAGAGCTGCCTGGCAGACGGTCAACGAGAATAGTAATAGTCCCTGGGTTGGGGGGCTCTGATGCCTGGAGATGTGGAGCCTGTGGCTGAGGCCCCCGCAGTCTAGAGTGGAGCTCTTCTACTCACGACTGCCTACTCACCGTTCCTCGCCATTTCTCTGGTCATTCGCCAAACACCAATTGCCATCATCGCGAGAGGCATTCGAATGGTGTGCACGAGAGAAAGACAAGTCTCTCGATAAAGACCAGGGTGCCGTCATCTTGGAGCTTGAAATAGCGCGCCCCTCCCCCACTTTTTTAGGTGCGGGAACGAAGCTTCATCGGCCACTCTTAGTATACAATTCGTAAAGGCGGAAAATCAAAAAGCGGTCATCTCCCACCAACACTTGCTAATAATAACATAAAATATTAATAATATCATGTATCTTTTTTTTAAGTGAGAAATGTAGATTCTAATACATATGTTATCTGCTTAGAGTATCTACTTACGCGTAGTAGAGTTATAGTTACTTAAGAAGTAAGTAGGTGCTATTTTAGCTCTGTTTTTAGGTGGGTTTGGGGTAGTTTTGCCCTGCTAGGAGGGGCCACTATTTTCCGGTCTTACCGGTTGCATATGAAGGCCAAGTGCAAGGAAGGGTTCCGAGCGTTCGGTACTGCTTCCAGCCCTATCTTGGGACATCTGCAATACCTTCCCTCCGTACCTCGGCGTCCACCATGGCCGTCTTCCAGGAAAAGCCGGAAACGGCAGCGGCCAAGTCGACACATGTATCCGATCCCGCTCTGGATCCATTCCTCCAATCGCAATTCGACTCCGCCGACTACCTTAATGCCACGCTCCCCTCGCTATCGCTAAGCTCAAGATCAAAGACAGGCAATGCCGCCTCGCTGGCCGACCTCTCCTCCCAGACCCAAGACCTCCTCTCACAACTCAACGCACATACGACCCGGTTATCTGCCATACTCACGCAATTGACCGATGACATACTGCGGACTGGCGGGCGGCTGGCTTACGAGGTCGAGGTATTGCGGGGGGAGGCAGTCAGCCTCACAGAGACCCTAACGGATGGTCTAAAGAACGACGTTGAGAAGTTTCTGCCAGGTGGAATCACTCTGAAAGCAGACCCTATAGAAGGAGAACCTGGAAGCCCTGCGCCAGCACAAACAGAAGCCCCCAGCGAAGCATTCCCAGCGCTCGTAGAACCCGAAGATACCACGCCCGAATACATCTCCGACCTTCGCACCCTGACCACGGTCCGCTCGCGCCTTGAGAATGTCATCAAGGTTTTCGGAGAAGCCATGCACTGGACGATCCCTCCTAGCGAGGTATCCCTAGGCGCCTCCCTAATCAGCGTCTCTGCCCCCGAGCCCGGCACCGACAGCGCCTCCCGCGAGCAAAAAGGCAAAGAATTCGCCGCCTCGCTCCGCTCCGAGATTGCCGACCTCATCACAGGCGATCCAGAAGGCGGCATGCACAAGGCCGAGGTGCGCATACAAGCGCTGAGAGATCTCGCTCAGGTATGGAAGGGCACAGCCGAAGAAAAAGCAAGAACAAAGTTCATCGACGGCTTGGTGAAGCTGGCAGAGGACAAGCAGCGCGAGCTGGACAGGGAAAGGGAAAAGAATAAGGATCGAGGCCAGCAGAAGCCAGCTCGTAGCTCTAGTGTCTCAAAGTCACAGCCGCAGCCTCCGCAGCAAAGAACCGGTGGCTTTCTGGAAAATCTGCAGAGAATACGAGGCTTTGTGGAATAATACATGCTTTGCTCAATCCATTTACATTGCGAAGCACATCACGTGATCACGCGTCGTCGTGCCCCCAACTATCAACACGTCTTTTAATCTGCCCCTCTTTCTCAATGGCATCTAGCAATGGCTCGAATATAAACATCATTCATCTTCATCTGTCATTATGCTATCCGGGACAAGAACAAAAATTGCCATTGAGTTCATACAAGCAATAAAACTAGGTGTATCTCCCAGCTATTCCTAGGCTCAGACGGTTGCCCCGCAGCAAGGGCGGAACGTGGCACCCCAAATCAAAGACCAACAAAAAACATTAAGCAGCCGTAAAATTAAACGTATGCGGATCGCAACGTGCCCAAAACGCCCATTCTGATGTCGGGGTATCTCAATGACCAAACTCCCATGTGCTCCAATCCTAACCAAATGCCCATCAAACTCAGATTGTGGGGATGCCCTCGAGAACAGCCATGGCACGTTGACCCTCTGCCTCGAATGCCAGTATCTGTTGTTCGCAGGCCATGCGGAGTTTTTCTTCGCCCCTCTTTGCGTTATGCAGAACCCATTGTTCAATCGTCATGCGCTTCTCTTCGTCTGTCAGGCTAGCCATAACGTATTCGTAAAGTTCTTCAGGCGTCATGTCTGCTGTCTGAACGTTGTCCAGACCAGAATCAGCAAGGATTTCGCTGAGATAACCGTGGGCCTCTTCCTGAGATGTGATTACGGCATCAACGTCGGCAGGCTTCCAGTTGATGGGTTCTGGTATGTCATCTGCCTCACTCATCATAGGCGGTGTCCTCTTGGGTGTTCCGACTGCTAGGTCCGCCGGCAGGCTCGACATGTCAAAGTCGTCCATGACAGTGTCCCTGATTCCGGTCGGTGTCTTCTTAGGCGTTCCCACAGGAAGATCGCTAGGGAAACTTTCAATGCTCGAGGATCGCACACGTTTCGGCGCAGGCTGGATGACTTCAGAGTACTCAGTTTCCTCAACTGCCTCGCTTGTCCGCTTCTTGCCACGTGTGGCTCTCTTGCTTGCTGTAGATGCTGTTGACGAGCGGGTTGAGGCACGCTTAGCTTTGGAAGCACGCTTGGCTTTCTTGGGTGCTGGGGCGGGTTTGTAGAGTTCGGAGAGGACAAAGAAGAGACATTCAGGAGATCTTCGACGGTGCTCCTGCATAGGGTCATCACCGATATCCCATGCGTCTAGTGCTAGAGAGCAGTATGGGCAGGTAACGCCATCGGGTGTGTCTGTTGCAGGGTCGTAGAACCAGCCGGCGTCCACCATTTGGTCGACACTGGGGTAGCCAGCTGCGACGTCGAGTGGCCACATATCGCCAAAGGTTGAGCGGCGTGCTGCCACCATGGCTTCTGAGGTCGGGTCATCTTCAGTCCTGCCAGGATCGCCCGCACGGAGACGGATACAGGCGATTGTTGCGAAGCCACAGCTTGGGGAATGTGTTGAGTGTTCGTATGCAGGAACGTCCGCTTCCTCCCAGCCGTCTAGTTGGCACTCGCAGCTGAAGCATTGTACGTTGTCGGGGCTCGTAGAGGTAGGCTTCCATACAAAACCGGCATACGCCAGATCCTGTGCCGAGGGTGCTGTAAGGGGCCATGAAGCCTTTGATTTTGTTCCTGCCTTTTTAGATCTGTTGCTTGTACGTCGTCCCTTGCCTGTCGTAGCTGCTCCCTCAAAGGTGGCTAGACGCGCCTGGTAAGAAGCCAGGGACGCATCCATGGCGTTAGTAGGAGTGATGGTAGTTGTGGAAAGTTTTGAGTTTTGAGTGTTGGTTTTGCTTTTTTACTCGGCTGGTTATAGAAGATAAAGATGTGTTTTGCAATACTGAATATTGCGAATCTCGAGTGGTGTGTGCTGGGTGAAAATGGAGAAAGAAGTCGCGTCTCCAGACGCGGCAGGCCGACCACAAACATCTGATCCGCCAAGACATGTGGAGCAACAACACGCTTACGTCATCCGTTCGTTCACTTTGCGCGACTTGAGGCATTATCCTCCCAACAAGATGTATCGCCGCCAACCAACATTTCGGATAGCCTGGTGTAGAAGGCCTCTGGCGCAGGTCAATCGCCGCTTTATATCATCCGAGAAGACAACACCTACGGACACTCCCCATGCATTCCAATCGCTGCCACCAGACTGGGAAGATGAAGCTCCCTCGCTGTCGGACTTTACAGAGCTCCCGCATAAGGACTTTGGCAAAAATCAGTTGATGCAAACGAACGAAGACTTTAAACGGGCATTGCGAGGCATACTACGGAAATTCCCGCCAGTCACATACGCATTTGCCTACGGCTCTGGCGTCTTTCCTCAGTCGGCTGCGACAGCTTCGCGAACGACTCAATCGCCTCACCCGAACCCTCCCGATGCGATATTGAAATGGCAAAAAGGAGGTGGAAAGATGATTGATTTTATCCTGACGCCTCGCTTCTCTCAACACTTCCACTCGCTCAATCTACGCGAACACAGAGATCATTATTCATTTCTTGGATCGCTCGGCTCAGGAGTCGTCAGCCATGTACAGGAGAAGTACGGCGCAGGTGCTTACTTTAACCCGTATGTTATAGTGAACGGAACAATGATCAAATACGCCGTCGTCAACTACGAAACGCTCCTCCGCGACCTTACCGAGTGGGACACATTATACTTCGCCGGCCGCCTGCACAAGCCCGTTAAAATCCTCCACGAAGAACCCAATCTCCGCGTCGCGAATCAACGCAATCTCCTCTCTGCCGTTCGATGTGCGCTTCTCTTGCTGCCTGAGAAGTTTACAGAGAAGGAACTATACTCTACAATCACAGGCTTGAGTTATCAAGGCGATCCGCGTATGCAGTATGGCAGCGAAAATCCCAAGAAGATCGACAACATCGTCACGCACCAGATACGAAACTTTCGATACCTCTACCACGATCTCATAATGTCGCTCCCGAACATCAGGTACGCCGACGAGTCTGTGATTCGAAAGCCGGATTGGATGGAGGACCCGGGGCTGGATCAGAAGATGTCCCAAGACCTGGACCCAGAGCGTCGCGCCAGTATGGTCCGGCGGTTGCCCAAGAAGTTCCGTGAAAAGGTGTACTTCCAGTACCGCGGCAAGTTTGGCATCTCAGGTCGCGAGTACCAACAGATGCTGGAGGCAAGGAAGGACGAATCTTCGGGAGGAATCCTGAAGAAGCAGGTCGCCGGTGACTTTGATAGGCGAATAGCAGCTGAGAAGGACATCCCACAGATGGTAACCAAGGCGATCAACCAGACCGTCAAGTGGCCATCAACTGTGCAAACGCTCAAGGGACCTTTTACGGCGGGCCTATCAAAGTCATGGAGGTACTTGCAAGAAAAGCGGGAAAAGGCAAAAATGAAGTAAGATCCAATATCGCAAGCACTTCCAGCCATTCTTATGGCATTAATGCGTTCGAGTATCAACAAAAGCGGATAGCAAGCGAGCGAGCACAAGGTCTTCTTTTTCTGCAGTCTTGCACTTGATGTATAATCGCATTAGCCGCCGTCGCGAAGTTCACGGGTCAGGCTTTGTATACGCGAAAATTAGAGTCATGCCGAATGTACAATTACCACATCAATACACGTAGCAATGCTCGATCTTATTGAATGCTTTTTCTGTGCTGCATGCAAAGTTTCCGAGTATCGATTGATGCAGTGCCTCGTATGTTGGCTGGTTAATGACTCAGTCATGCATATGATTTCCCACAATGCTCCACTTTTTCCACTTTAGATTTTCACTATCTATCGGCGTTCCCAACAATTCTACGCCAATCTGAGTACAGGTCAATTGTTCTGTAGCTATAATAGATCTAATTTCAAGATTAGTCATCACAATAACCTCAACCACCACAATACGGCTCAATGGTCTAGTCGTATGATTCCTGCTTTGGGTTTTCCAACCTATTCTGCAGGAGGTCCCGGGTTCAAATCCCGGTTGAGCCCATTAATCTTCTTTTTGCTTTTTGAATACGATGATGGGTGTGGAGATGGGGCAAGGTCACGCTTTGGGAACGTTCACAGGCAAATCTCGGTACTCTCCTAACACATACTACTCTTTTTGTTTTATTACGAAGACGGAATACTCCATATTTCCTATTGAGACGATATAATGGAATACTAATGTTCAGATCAACGAGTGATTTAATACGTGAAACAATATTAAGAAGACAGGTCAAGAAATAGAATGATAATAAATCAACATCGAGGTATCATGCCCAAATAGTAAAAACAGTCAGCCCAACCCTAGGAAAAAACAAAATCAAAGAGTCAAGTATGAACAATCATCAATCAAATGGTATCCCCCGTTTCCAAGCCACAAACGCCAGTCCATCAATCCTAAAAAGAGTAATCAGACATGGAAACTAAGCTCACCGCGGCGTCTGCGGCCACTCAATCTGCAATCCTCTAGAGCGATCAATCTCAAGCCCTGCCCGCTCATCTCTCCTCACACTCTCGCCCATGACAACAGTAGCAAGGCGCTGCAGTACGTCTTCGCCAGAGATCCAGTCGCCGCGCCTACCCGGTGCGCAATTGCCTACTTCTAGTTTCCTGCCTGTGACTTGCTCGTACTCGACTTCGCTCTTGAGGCTCATCAGGTCCATGAAGACGCTGCAGAGAACGACAAGCTCGGCGGTCATGACCATGCTGTAGCCCCAGGCATGGAACACGGCGCCGACGTAAGGTAGGTTGCCGTTGTCGGCGAGGAAGCGGCGGAGGAGGTAGCCGTTTGTGGTTGATAGTGGCGTGGGAGGGACGTTGAAAGGGCAGAAGAGTGCGGGATGTTTGAGGTGTGTGGTGTACAGTTTGTCGAGGGCTTTGTAATGTGTTCGTGTCCAAGGCTCGACTTTTGGCAACGGTGTCATCCGTGAGATGATAGGGTGTGGTTGTAGTTGAGATGAGCGCGAGGATGTTGGCTTGGCGCTCAATGTCGAGGCGGCCTGTGCACGGGGTTGAGGATGGCCACTGGGGGTAGCATCTGATTCCTCCTCCTCCTCCTCCTCCTCCTCCTCCTCCTCTTCTTCTTCTTCTTCTTCTTCTTCTACTTCTTCGTCGTCGTCGCTAGAACTGCTTTCAGACGACAATTCAATCACTTCCGGTTCCTTCGAACGCGCTGCGTTCTGCCGTGATTGTGGTACTGGTACATTGCCTGGGCGCTCTACTGTCTTAGAAAGCGGCGAAGGCTTTCGTGCAGAAAGCAGCCGCTGTTCGAACCGTCGCTGCATCTTCGGTGGGCTCGATGGCAGGTGACTAATGTCTTGATGTGTTCTGCTAGGCTCGGTAACCTCTGTAATCTCATTCAGACTTCGCTCTTGCGGTTCATAGGCGTCCAGGTACTCGTTGGCCTCCTCGCGCACACGTAAAATGGTGGAAGCAGTATTTCCTTCCATCTCCATTCGGAATTGTTGTTGGTCGGATGCTGCTGAGATTTTGCTGTCGCCATCAACGACCGTGTGAAACGGCGAGCTTTGCGCGAGTGGCAACGTAGACTCTTCATACTGCTGTACGGAGCTTGTAGAAATGTCACCACTGTGAAGCTCACGCCTCAAGGGACTGCTCTTCTTTGGCGAGTTCAGTAGCGCAGGGAAGCGAGGTGGCGTATCCAAGAATGGATTTAGTGTCGCTTTCGGGGGTGTCTTTTTCGTTTTTACGGGCGAAGGAGATTCTGGTACAAAACTGTCCCCCTGGTCAAGAAGCTCAGAGAGGCTTACCTTCTCTGCTTCTTGTCTTCTTGGCCGCCGCCTCTGGAACCGAGAAGGCCGCTTCTGGTCTGCAACATTGGGCGTGTTCGACTGGAAGAACATACCAGCGTCACTTTCTTCGCCTTCAGCGTTTGGCTCTTCGACTTGCATAGGCTGTTCATCGGGTTGTGCGGAATCAACTTTTTGGGCCTCTTTACTGCCCTCTGATGGTTGGACAGCTGCTGGCACTGAGCCTGCCGAGGCAGGCTCTTGCTGCGACTCCGTCTCATCAATGACTTTCCTGCGGCGCCAAGTCCGGGCAGCTCTTCCGCGAGCAGGCCTGACAACGCTGGCATCTGTGAATATATCGCGAGCTTCAGGGGAATTCTCTGCTGGAACTTCCTCTGGATTGATCGAGATAACTGAGCGACTAGCCTCCTCTTGCCAGATATCACCAAAGTCATCATGTTGGACTAGCTCTTCTGCAGGACCGGGAACCTCCTCTTGAACCTCATTCATAGCGGTGTCTTGTTGATCTTGGCTTTTGGCTGCGCGGGGTGGAGTGTCGGTTCGCCAACTCATTGCGGATTCGCTCCTCGCAGGGCTCAATGGTGCTGTGGTCGCCTCTTCAACGTCCAACGCTGGGTATTGGACGTCGCTCGCTGCAACTGCCGGTGCCACCGCTGTGACAACATGATCCTGGTCTTCGGGTGTAAGAAGACGCGATTGCTGATATTTTCGTTGCGTTCGGAACACACCTGCTTTCGGCCCTGCCGCAGATTGGCCCCTGATAGGGCTCGAGGGGCCAGGCACATTGTCCTCCTCTGTCTGATTTTGTGCAAGTTGCTCGCCAAGTCGCAAGCCTGCTTGAAGATCTTTACGTGTCCCTGAGCTGAAGCCACGGAACAAATCGTCCAATGAGCCTCGCTTTCCGTCGGGCGTCTTTTGTGAGGCATCTGGGGTGAGTCGTGTGGGGTCGAGAAGACCTTGTAAAGCTACACCGGCGGTAACTGCTCGGCCAAGTGTTGGAGATGGAGATTTGGTCAGAGCAGGCTGAACAGGATGCAGAGCAGGGGGTGCAGATGGAATCTCAGAGTCCATAGCGGGTGTGACATGACGCGCCAGTTTTGGACGCACTGTCTCGATGGACGCGGCTTCTAAAAAGGCCTTGCTTGTCGAGACGTGCTTTTCATGGGTTGAAGATTCAGAACCTGATGCTACGTGCGTAACTGGTCCCAAGTACTCGTTCCTGAGTGAGGATTTGGCCTTTGGAGCATTGGCCTGCACATCTCGAGGCTGTGTTGGGCTCGGTCGATTTGTGTTGCTCTTCAATGACTCGACAGATATCATGCTAAACGTCTCGCTATCCAACATCGTCGTGTCATCTGGCATCCTGGTGGTGCCTTCGTCAAAAGTGAAATGTTGACCCTGTGTTTCCTCCTCCTCGTCGTCTTCATAGTCTTGAGGATATTCGGGTGCACCATCATCACTAGTGGCATCGGCTGAATCACTCGATTGCGCCGAGGTCTCGCTTGGTGTAAGCACGTCTCCTTGGCCATCCTCTGTTCCACTCATGGGTTGGTTTTCGGGAAGATTGTTGTTGTCTTCATCTCCGCTGGCGGGCGTAAGTACATCACTGCCACTTTCCTCTTCATCGGATGGAATAACGGCCACCCTGTTTGCATGTGGTGTACCTCTGCGTGCGCGAACATTGTTCCTCGAATTGGTATGAGCTGGTGTGCCTAGGCTGGGAGACGGCTCTGATCGTGTAGGCGATGTTCGCAATGCATCATCCATGGTTTGATCATCGGGAGCTGCAAATCGCGCGTTCTTTTTCGAATTGTCTGGTTCGGCCTCGGTGCTTGGCAGAGGTGTCTCCTCGAACGTGGCTTGTAGGATAGCTTCGGCCTCCTCTGCAACGCTGGTCTCGTCATATTCAGTCGGTGACTGTACGCTCTTCCTCGGACGACCCCTTCGCTTCCTAGGTGGCACATCGGTATCGACATCGGCTGCGCTGGAATCGCCGCCTCGCACAATTTTGCTCGGAGAGCTGAATTCTGCAGGTCTCTTGATTGGTGTCCCTTTTCTCTTGGGCTTGGGCGTCAATCCAGTCTCAGACTTCCTGGGTCGGCCGCGGGGGCGCTTGACAGGAGACGACGCATCCGGGTCTTTTAGCGGTACAGTAGTCGTCTTTGTTCTTGTCACCCTCTTTACTGATGGTGATTCAGCATTTTCTCCGTCTTCCGGTTCAGCCTGGACGGTGACCTTGATGCGCCAAGGGCTTGCGCCGTTGCCTCGCGGTGTGCTCATGATCATAGACTTGGACGGCGACGAGAAGACGACCTCTGACGTCTCCAGCCGCCGGACCTGTTTCCTTGGCGAGGTGATCATGATGGGTTTCCGAGGACTGGATTTGCGGTGCGATGAGGTGATGTTTTCGTCGAAAGAAATGGCTAGCGGGTCCGGGCTTGAGTCGTTGCTGCGATCCGAGTAGGCACCCGGACTCGCCGTTGTGCTGCGACCGCGGGGCGCCATATTCAAGGGTCTCTGTGAGGATGGTGGGTGGAGGTTGTTAGTGCGATAGGGATGGCGTGGTGGGGAATAAACGTGCATCCGTGGGCATGCGGGACGGGTGACGCGTTGTTGTCGTGGCAACAATCTAATCACGACACCAGTCCACGCGCTGGGCGCAACATCGCGAACAAGGCAGCCAGCTTGGAGATCAAAGGACATAGCATGGAGTCGCAATGGGTATCCATGGGTGAGTCGCGCATATTATGGGGTATATTCCAGTACTAACGCATGTAGAATCTACAAGGAAATCGGCCCTGGCACACGCATAGCGCTCTCCAAGCTCGCCGTCGAAAAGTTTGAAGAGACTGGCCGCCCACTGCGCATCGCTATTGATACGTCGATATGGCTTTTTCAGATCCAAGCTAGCAAAGGCAAGTCTTCTCAGGGTATGCGCATACCGTATAGTGCTGACTGCAGCTAGGCGGCACGAACCCTGCATTGCGAACATTTTACTACCGTCTCCTGCGCTTGATTTCTCTTGCTATCCATCCTGTCTTTGTCTTCGATGGACCCAACAAACCACCATTCAAGCGCAACAAGCGCACCGGTCCGACGGTCGCCTCCATCCCCGAGTTCCTTGCAAAACAGCTCTTGAAGCAGTTTGGATATCCCATACATCTTGCGCCAGGCGAGGCAGAAGCAGAGTGTGCACTGCTGCAAAGGGAAGGAATTGTCGATGCGGTTCTGAGTGAAGATGTGGACACGCTCATGTTTGGGAGCGGTGTCACTCTCCGAAATTGGTCTCCAGAGAAATCAGGAAAGACGCCAACTCATGTCAATGTATACGACGCTGTCGAAACCAAAAACGGGCCATCGGGACTGGATCGTGAGGGCATGATCTTGGTCGCGCTAATGAGTGGAGGAGACTATGTGCCAGAGGGAATACCTGGATGCGGCCCCAAGACTGCATGTGAGGCAGCCAAAGCAGGTTTTGGTGCCGACCTGTGCAAGATTCCACGAAACGACTCTAGAGCCATAGCCCAATGGAAGGAGCGACTGCAACACGAGTTGAAGACAAACGAAAGCAAGTTCTTTAAACGCAAACACGGCGCACTCAAGATCCCCGACGACTTCCCCCGACTCGATATTCTCGGATATTACACGCATCCCGCGATCTCGAACCAAGCAGGATTAGACAAGTTGCGTCGGTCCATCAATTGGGATCGGGATCTCGACTTTCCGGGTCTGCGCGAGTTTACCCAAGATGCTTTTGACTGGGTCAAACTCGAGGGTGCAAAGCACTTCATTCGCAGTCTAGCACCATCTCTTGTTGTGCGCCAACTGCGGATCCGCGCTGAACAGTCTAATCGCCTGCCCACTGACAATCTACGAGCCATACAAGAAGACGAATCAACGCTGATCAAAGGTCTTCACGGAAAAAGACAGCATGCCATTACCGACCATTGTACCGAGCTTCGCGTAAGCTTCACACCTGTCGAGTTGGTAAAGATTGATCTTAGCCAAGAGGATCCGGACGATGATGTAGAGGCCCCGCCGCCCAGTTCCCAACAGGATGTAGGAGATGAGGATCTAGATGAAGACGTGCCTTTGGACATGGAGGATGAGGGTCCTAAGAAACGTGGACCGACCAAATTTGACCCTGAAAAGCCGGCACGTATATGGGTCATGGAAACATTTGTCAAAGTCGGCGTGCCACTCACAGTTCAAGATTGGGAGGCTGGACGACAGGCAAAGCAGAAGCCTAGACGAACAGCATCGGTTCAGGATACTGGCACTGCCGCACCAAAAGCCAAGACAACCACAAGGCGGACAAGGACGACTAAAGATCAACCCCAAGTCCGAATAGAATCTTTTGCAAAGGTCACAAAACCTGGAGTGAGAGCTTCACGAGCACTTGTAAAAGCCCAAGAGAAGGCTGGAGATCTTCCAGCGCCATCATCACAGACTACTGCACCGGCTGAATACGAAGCGATTGACTTGTTATCCTCATCGCCAGTGAAGCCACGAATCCTAACACCACGACCACAACCGGAGCCTGAAAAGTCGCTCTCCCCAGTTCTAGAAGATTTGCCTCCAAGTGTAACTAAACGGAGAAGGCGAGCTCCAATTCAGCGTTCAAAAACGCTTCCTGCTGACACCAGCGAAGTCTTGGATCGGTCTTCCACACCTCCACTTTTGAGGACAATAGAAACCTTGGATTTAGCCGAGTCTCCAGTGCACCCTTCACCTTTGCAGCTACCAGCAAAGAAGGTCAGGACAAGAACATTGGAAGAGACGGCTGCAACCAGAGCGTCTCGGGACTCGTCTGTACCAAAACAGACTACCTTAGATGCATGGCGAGCATCGGCAACACCAACCAAACAGCGAGGTACAACTCCTTTGTTTGGTGCAGCACCAGTCCCTGCGCCACCACAATTCCGTAAGCCATCGGAAGATGTGGAATCACTGGACTTGACGCTCTCCCCACCAAAGCGCCCAGAAGCCACACGACGTTCTCAAAAAGAGGTTACTAGTGAGCAGAGTCCTGTAGTATCATCGACAACACGGCCGCCATTGACGTCAATATCATCAAACACGTCTGCGAGCTCGACCTCATCAGTCTCCACTGTAGGGAAGAAGAAAAGCATTAAAGATGTTTTCCGCTCCAACCCGCCTCGCCGTACTTCGCCACGTCTCAGCAAAACGACATCAGCGCCCTCCAGTGTTGATACTATAGACCTCACGTCCCCTCGTCCTGCTGCAGCAAAATCACGGTCGACATCGCCACAAGCGGATATGCTTGATCTGACAGAACACTCGTCACCCGTAGGGGGGTGTGATCCGGCGCCACAACCAACGGCTGCAACACGGACATCACCTCCAACGCGTTCATCACGGTCACCAAGCGAAGAAAATTCGGTATCATCGCCCGCAGCATGGAAAGCCCAGAGCAAGAAGAAACGAGCTATCATTCTTAGAAAGAGTGTCGTAGGTGCCTGGGACTACGTCGATGTTGACAGCCCAGAGAAGCTGGCAGAGCAGACACCGGGGCCCTTGCTCAAAGGCAAAGACAGACGCAAGTGGAGAGAAAGCGCGGTAGAAGTCTTGGACTTGACGTAGAGCTGATTTTGTACGCGAGGTGGGGATGAGATGGAAACGCAGCATTGCTTCTTTGTTTGCTCTAACGAATACATGGTTACACGATAGGAAGCATGAGGTTGGAGTTTTTGTCGCGAGATATCAGTTTCAATTATATTATTCTTAATTTCTACGGTATATGTTCGACGAATTATTGATAGCCAAGTGAGTCGGTTGATAGTGATAGTTGTTGGTCGAAAACACCAAGTAAATCGTTATGCTACTCCACAACTCGTATTCAACAAAGGATGACACATGGCGGGGTAACAGGCACACACTCCCCCTCGCTTACCCACCCCCTCTCACCACACTACCCCACCGTCCCATCCGATGACTCTCCAAGCGCTTCTCACTCTCCGTTTTTACTCGATTCATATACCAAAAATACGGGGTCCTTTCCATCAACTCCAAGAGTCTCATAACTCCGGCCTGATGGTCTAGTGGTATGATTCCTGCTTTGGGAAGATTCAGATTCACGTCTGTTTATCAAGCCTATTCTGCAGGAGGCCCCGGGTGTAAGTTCACCCATTCAGATTCGCACAGCGAACGCAAGTATCTAACAGCGTTACAGTCGAATCCCGGTCAGGCCCCATCCTTTCTTTTTTGCTTATCTTTTGTACTCTGAGGTAGGGGTGATCTACTATGCTTTTGATATATTTTATTTTATTTTCAGACTTTGTAAAGACTCACCAAACAAATCGCGGATATACTACGTACTGTATTTTTGATTTGTTTATTTTATTCTCATGGTTGATGCTACTCGTCGCAACCCTAACCTACAACAACTACCAATACTTGTCCGTGATTAACTTGAGACCCGCCTCGTCAAAGACCCTCACGCCTCTCTCCTCAACCCTAGGTCTCGTCCGAAATGTCTTCTCCACCTCGCCCGTCTTCGCATTCACACCCTGATGCTCATACTGCTCGCGCTTAACCAAACAGCCCTCAATCGCCCATTTCGGCACGGCCTCCTCATACCTAACCCCCTTATCCCTCCACATGAGCTCAATAAGCTCACCCGTCTTCTTCCCATGCAACTCAGCCGGCGTGTACAATGTGCGTGCAAACGACGACACGGCATTCCTCACCGCATCATTCCGACAGCGCCAGATGAGATTATTCAGGGCCTCGTGCACAGACGGCACGGGGAAGAATCTCGCGTCGAAATGCGCCGTGCCAAAGACAAGCTCCGTGTCGCCCTTGACGGGTGGATCAGGCATCTCACGTAACGCAAGCTCGAGGTGGCGGTTGAAGCGTACGGAACAGTAACTCGCGGCTAGACTGCAGAGTTTCTGCAGGCGCTCGTTGAAGATTTGCACGCCGGAGGGGAAGACGAGGGTGATTTCGTCGGATTGCGTGTAGGCGAGGGTGGCTTGCGGGAAGAAGTGGAGGAGGTCGCTGCTGGTGCGGGTCATGGCGGTGTGGATGCGTGGGTCGAAGGGGCGTGAGAAGCGAGAGGTGAAGCGCGAGAAGCCGTGGCCGTCGAGACGGAGGATGATGGGTTGGTTGGTGGGGAGGATGTGGTCGGTGGATGCTTCGTAAGTGCGCATTCGGGATGCGAGGGAGGGGGGTTGAGATGCATCGGAGGATGGTGGGGGATCCATTGGGAGGGGAGTTTTGTATTATGTGTTTTTTTTTGTTGGAGTTGTTTTATGGGATGATACAGAGTTTGATTGGTGTTGATGCCCGAAATTTGGGGGGCTGCTCTAGAGAATGCGCTTGGTGGTGATTGTATGTATGCACTAATCCTACAAGAATTAAGAAAGCTGGGTATGAAGAACGAATATGTGGTATTGTTTTGGAGCAACTGAAGCTCTAGCAAAGAATTAGTCTACGCTGTACTTGTGAATGAAAGAGAATAAGAAACTTGCGGTTATATTATATGGCAGCTAAATCCTGAGTAGTCATATAGAGATACGACTCATCTGTATGACACCAAAGGTTAATGACGTCGCAGGTCTGTGCACGCTGTCCAGACACCCCTCGTAGAACCTGTTCTTGCCAATCCAAATCCTCCGTTTCGATTTAGAGGGGAAACAGTGGAAACGCAGCCGGTATGGTGGGGGGTGGGGTGCTCAATTTGTTGTTTTGTGACTGGGGGCCATGCAAGCTAGAGTAGTGACTCGAATCGACGGTAGACTCATGAGGTGCCTAAGAATTTGAAATCATTCGATCTGACATCTTTTATAGTTTCTCTTTAGTAGCCGGGAGTTGAGCAGAAACTATATCTCGCTTCTTTCTACAACAGAGAGACCATAATGTTGCTGAAGTGGGGCTAAGGACACTAGCTCGGTATACGTGGTACTATGGTGTAAACCTGTGGGTCCCAGGATCTCCAGCTCGGCATTGCTAAAAGGAACAATAAACATGTCAAGAATGTGTCGCGTACAAAAAGAAGAAGAGGTTAAATGGCCACAACATAGGGAAAAAGGTCGCAAAGACTTAAGTCAAATGTAAAGGCGACAGTTTGAACATGGGACGGCAGGGGGTTATTTTCGATTTTTGTCTATGATTTTGGTATTTATGTAGTTTATCTGCATAGAAAAGTACGGAGTTCAATCTTTATATTCGCACATTTCCACATATTGTATGTATTCCCTCATTGATCAAAATATATTTCAAAATTGAGAAAAAGGTAACGTGTTTCACCACCGAGCGCCGCACCCCACCGAGCGCCGCAGTTCCCCCACTAAAACAACGTCGC